TTCTTAAAAAGTAGATATCTGCTTGAATCAGGTGAATAAATAAAATCCAGCTCATTACATATGCATCCTTTGGGAATTTCTTAGTATTGTGTGAATCTAAAATCATGAGTATAGCATATAATGCCATCTGGTGTTCATATAAGGAAGAGTAATGAGTCCTAGTACACTAGTTTTACAGTCAATGCACAAATGCAATTCAGAGACAGCATATTTCAGATATACTGCATAGGAGCCATATTTAGTTATAATGTCTCAAATTTTGATCTGTTTAATACAGAAAACGATATTGTATGGCTTCAGAAGGCTTGGAGTATAGTGTACAAGTTGTATGGACCACTTTTAAGAAAAAAATATTTGTAATTTTGTTTTTTAATACTGGTTTTAAACAACATGAAGGTGAGCAAAGAATGACAAAATGTTTCTTGAGTCATTCTTACTATGCAGTTTATGGTGCTCAAGAAACAGTTCTTATTATTATCAATGCTGAAAACAGTTGTGCTGCTTAATATTTTTGTGGAAACTGTGATACATTTTCTTCTGATTGATTCTGAATAGAAAGAACAGCATTTAGAAATCTTTTGTAACATTATACATTTCTTCACTGTCATATTTGTTGATTATAAGTATTAATTTCTTTCTTTAAAATCTTACTGACCTTATATTTAATTGTAATATAATGGATGATATAGTAAACTCTTTTCAAAAACTCTCAATTCCTTCTCTAAAAAATTACTTTTATTTCCATTCTGTAAGGCATCCTGTTATTTTTTTCTGATTTGTTGAGCTTGACCATATTTCTGAACGTCTGCCATGCCCTTAAGTAGAAATTATTTTTTAAATTACAAGGTTACAGAGTTTAAAAGGTACTGCATTACAGGAATGACCCATCTCATTCTTCATTCATTCGTGCCAAGCTGAAGTTTTTAGTTTTTTTTTGTTTGTTTAGCAGACATAAAAATTTCTATCACTGCAAAGCAAAACTGGAGCTTGTTAATTCCTGATTGATTATTCGTAATTACAGTATTTCATCAAAAGTCAAACAGTTGTGCTGCTTAATATTTTTGTGGAAACTGTGATACATTTTCTTCTGATTGATTCTGAATAGAAAGAACAGCATTTAGAAATCTTTTGTAACATTATACATTTCTTCACTGTCATATTTGTTGATTATAAGTATTAATTTCTTTCTTTAAAATCTTACTGACCTTATATTTAATTGTAATATAATGGATGATATAGTAAACTCTTTTCAAAAACTCTCAATTCCTTCTCTAAAAAATTACTTTTATTTCCATTCTGTAAGGCATCCTGTTATTTTTTTCTGATTTGTTGAGCTTGACCATATTTCTGAACGTCTGCCATGCCCTTAAGTAGAAATAATTTTTAAATTACAAGGTTACAGAGTTTAAAAGGTACTGCATTACAGGAATGACCCATCTCATTCTTCATTCATTCGTGCCAAGCTGAAGTTTTTTTTGTTTTTTTTTTGTTTAGCAGACATAAAAATTTCTATCACTGCAAAGCAAAACTGGAGCTTGTTAATTCCTGATTGATTATTCGTAATTACAGTATTTCATCAAAAGTCTCGATATGAGACAGCGAAAGATCTTTTGGAAAGATGTTGAACTTTGCCCTTTAGAACTGATTAGTATTACACTACATGCTAACAAGAATCTGTAATGCAACTTTAACATAAATACATTGCACTGACCCTTTACTGCACATTCAAACTGTACCATAAACTATAAGAGTGAGAGATGCTTCTGTTAAACAGATAACTGGGTCTCTGGAGGTGTCTTGTCCTCAATTCCAAATTCACCTTTTGTCTTGTTCAAAAGGAAATACTGTACTACCAAATCACTTAAAATGAGCCCCATTTAGCAGTGTTTCAGAATAAACAAAATGCATGGAGTTTATTTAGAGCTTTCTAAAAATATATCCGCAACTTTACATAACAGAAATATAACTTTTTTGGTTTGCATGCAAGCATGAACTTTAAAATAATGAGATCTGTGTGCAGAGAAACAATGTGAAAATAATACAGCAGAACTGCTGTACGGAATGATTTGGAAGCGTATCATTAATCAATACAAGCCCTCCTATGGAATTCCAAAAAGGGATAAAGGGGGAAAACCCAACAATTTTTTACAAACAGAGAACAGAATCACGTGACAACACGTCAAGACAAGATCAAGTTGATAGACAGGAACACGATTTGGTACAGGAAATGCAGCGGAAATCTTTGCAACCATAAGCTTGAGGTATGATGCTTTGTTGAAACTAGCTCATACATACAGTCCAGCACTCAGGTTAGTCTGATGATGAGGATATGCATGGAGATCAAAAAATGGCGCCATGCAACTGAATAATGAGAGAATAGTCTGGAAAATGGCTCTGACTAGCGGCTACAATATTACATGCCACAAATGACTGCTTGAGAAAGCGTGACATTGAAGCGCACGGTTTGTGGCAATAAAACTCTTTCTATGCCATCTGCATTCTAAAATGACTTCATATGCAGACCGGCTCAGTCATGTGAGGAGGAAGTGAAGTGCATTCAAGGATGTCGGTCATTCTTAAAACACAACTTTCTTAAGCTTACATCAATACATGAGCTCAAAAAACTCCTTGGATGGCAAGAAAAGATTTTGTTGCCTGTTATTTGCTTTGTTAATCAAAATGACAATGTTCAAGGTCAAGCCCAGATGGTACAGATGCTTGAGAAAAATAAAGGAAAAATCTATTTCAACACCAAAATATCATGCGGAACAAGATGAGGCGAGATGACAGGAATGTTGCTTTTGGATAGCTGGGAAAAAGATGAGGACTTCAGCAAAAATAACACTGACCACGAACAAGCTCATGAAATTAAGAGGACAAATCAAGGGGAAGTACCCCACGCATGCGGTACAGAATACTCTCTGAATACGAGGACGCACCCCTGCAGCGGTAATGTCTCATGCAGCTACACATCAACTGATGTAGAGGTTAGAATGGCATGAATTTCTGTGTAAACGTGACTGGATGATTGGGACCCTGCCAATAGCTTTCTTTATGAGTACATAAAGATTCCAGAAAGATGGATATTGTTCTCAAACCGCTAAACCGATGAATGTCATTTGGAAGAAATTGGCATTGACATTTGAGAGAATTGCAGAGGGTGAGAACAGGTTGAGACAAACAAAGCAGATAACTAGCCTGTCATGTCTGCATGAAAACTTAAATGTATACATTTTCATCCAATGGAGCACAATAAACATGTTGCACATTTCTGTGATAAAAGATAGTGTGCTCATTACAGGCCAATAGATAAAACTAACAGGCCATGAAATGGCTTTGGCCTCTGGAAATGATATGATCGCACATTGTTCTTCTTGTTATGTGCTGGTTCGCTTTTCCAACATGGAAAATGTATAATTGGGGGTTTGTTCAATTAGGGGAACATCTGGCTTTGTGGACTTGGTGGAAAACACACTTTTCAGACTTTTGCTAGTTTATTTACAGTAATTTGTAACCAAATTACATTCTGACATTTTTCTAAAACACCACCTTTCATATAATGTAATGCATTTCATAGCATTTTGTGGTGCAAAAAAAAAAAAAAAATTCTAAAAAATAAATAAAAACTTCTATAAATATAATTGTGTACAAAATGTAGACAATTATTTATTATTTCAATTTATATAAATAAAAAATTTAAAAAAAATATTCAAATATTTATTATTTAGATGTTTATTATTATTTTGCTCTGTTTAGATTAATAAATTAATATTGAATAATTTTAACATGAGTAATCTTTTTAAGATTGAACGTCTGGGAAAAGCGTAAAACAAATTTAAAATAAATGGTGAAGCTATGGTAAAAACTTTCCATGACTAGTAATATGTTTTAACGTGACCTTTATATCACAGAAAAAAAAAAAGTTGATATCTGTTCATTTTAATAAAAATCAACCCCTAGGATATAAAAAGTGCCCGAAGTTGAAGAAACACCCAATTATTGTAAGTGGTAGAGTTTTACTCAAATTATAACGAGATTCATTTGACCTCTCTGACTGGAATCATGATTTGCAAAGGAATTAAATTTCGATTATCTATAACTGCAATAAAAAAATTAGCATATTTCACAAAAGACATGACAGACTATTTTCTCAAAGCTACAATTATGTAAAAAAACAAAACAAAAAGCCAATACCCAACTTCTCTCAAATATTTCTCTTTCTCACTATCAATCTCTTTTTTTCTAATCACTGAATTGTATTTTTCATATTTGGGTTGGAAATATTAGCAGAACAACTTGTTCACACTGAGGCAAAATGATATCGTTAAAAATAAGCATAACGACACAAAACAAAAATTTGTACACAGAAATTCGATGATATCTGTTCTCTATTACAACAAGTTAACTTAAATCAAACCTCTTGAAATGAGGAAACAGAAAGAAATCGATAAGACTGCTTCAACAGCAATTAATCTGATAGATATCACTCTACTATAAGGCTGAAAGCAAAGTCTCAAAATGTATCATGTGCCAAAATGCAATCCACTATCACATGGCAAATAAACCTCAGTATGATACATTTTGAAGCATCAATGCAGAGAACATGTCACTTTTCTGTACTAATTTTGTACGTATGCTCTCATAATAGGCACTGGGGACAAAATTAGTAATCAGTGTGACCATGTTAACCACTTCGGAAAACCCCATGGCCAAGTGTAGCTCGTAATAAAAGTTTTGAGGGGAATGATTTGAGATTAGCTCTGATTCAAGGCTACTGAATGGACTAAGCATTAGAGATCCATGCCTATTTCTGTTTTGTTTAGATTATTTCTTAAGATATCCTACTACTGTATATCCATGTCTCTATATTGGTGTACATGGGTTGGATTGGACAGGAAGTTACACTTTTTCTATCCATGGGGGGAGGCGATGCTTTGAGGATCTGATCCTCAGTTGCAAACGAAAGGCCACCACATAGAGGCAAGCAAAATTCAACTGACCTAGCCCACCTGCATGTCCTTCGCACTCAGCAAAGTCCTCGTCGTCACTGGAGCATTCAGCCGAAGAGACCATGTCATCCGTGGTCTATAATACGGTGAAACACACACACAGGAGAATAGACAAACAAAAGAGAGACTTGAATGCATTAGATTGTACCACCATAATGTAAAAGAGCATTTTTATATAATGTTTGTAATATATACTGTAAGTCCAGATGCATTTTTTCTGCACCAATTTAAAGTAAAATCCGTGGTGTGGACTCAAATGGAATTTTTAAAAAAATGTTAAAACAAAATGGTATGTGTGCATAAAAAAAATGAAAGAAGGCGCATGACCAAAAACATCCAAGAAGGCCTAAAAAAACCTTTCTGACAAACCGATAAAGACCGAAAGTATCTATTTTAATAGAGTTTGAAAAAATAATAAAAAAATACAATAATAATAAATAAGTCAATATTTTTGTAATATTTTATTGCTCATTACAAGGACAAAATATAAACAGTAATGAGGATTTTCCATTAAAACAACAACAATAAATGAATGAAAAAATAAATAATAAACACACACACACACACACACACACACAATATCTTAATATCTGTTTATTTACTCTCATTATCTACTATTTTTTATAAATTAGATACCAGCAAGGTTTTCTAAAAAGTCATAAAACACTTTCCATATGAACTAAACTATACAAAGTTTATTTTTCAAAAAATAAATAAACATTTTAAAAAAATGTAAGCAAATTAATAAATAATATATGGATTTAGAACAAGATGAGGGTGGAATAATAAAAGGATTTTCATTTTCGGGAGACCTATTCCTTTAAATGAAGCTGAGAGTACCACGCTCTTATTAGCTGCTGAAAGCATAATCAAATTAGCCACAAAATGTAATAAATGAATATGCAGTGAGTCTGAGATTTAGGGGATTTTATAAATGACAGAACTTTCCGAGGAGCTCTGCAGGAACACAATTCATGTAAGTCTGCTCATAAGTCAGTGTCATTATTTCCCTGTCAATAAACATTAATTCACCGGTGACAGACAGTGAATGAGTTTGCTGAGCTCATCTTGGGTGTTAATTACAAACTTTTATTTTGAAAAACTGCTCACGTCAAACATTTATACGAGTCACCTCCATCTCGCCCTTTCGAGAGTCTGCATGGATTTCCCATCATTGTATATCACTGCCGCTGAGAGGAGAGCACCAAACACACAGCGGCACTCTGAGATTATCTGTGTGTCTCCAACATCTCCCGCTCTGATTTATCCCCAGCACTCTCCCTTACTCATGCCAACTGCCGCGGTGAGCTCGTTTTTCACACCCTCTGCTTGGCATGTCTTTATTAGGAGCAGATTAGAATGTGGGGCAAAATAAGTACTGTCGTAGACCAGGTTTATGAAATTTTAAATAACACAGGGAGCAATGGAAAGCACTCTCCCATGTGAAAGCGCAAGGTCATAAATATGATTGGGTTTGACGGAATAATAAAATGTTTTCCCTCTATATTCTTGGTGGACTTTGCTGGAAAAAAAGAGCTTCTTATTTTTCTCCCAGTTTTGGTATGAAAATGGTGCAAAAAACCATTCGAATGCACATCAGGCTGGGCAGAGGTGGCGCTTCACACTGGCGGGGTGTGGAATATCGCTCTATGTGAATATAAAATTATTCATTGAATTTATATTTAGTGTGGCAAACAACTCATCTTCGTGACTGAAAGAGCAGGAGGATATCACAGATGCAGAAAGCAATGAGAAACGTAATTGACTGATTGTGGAGAAAACGTGAAATTATTTCAGGTTTCCATTTAATCTCATAAACCGCTCCGAACAGAACCCACGGTTGATATTCGGTATGAAAACGTTACTGATACAATGGCCGCCTTGAATATGTATGTCTGTGGATACACGCAGACTAACGTACAGGTACGTACAGATCCCGGAATCAGTCAGAATATCTCAGAAGCCGCTCTTCATATCCTCTTTCACAAAAACACGAGCTCAGTGTTGATAAAGGCTGAGAATGCAGTGGAGAGCTGCTGCATTATGCCATTTTAGAATCATACATTGATACTTCTGTTGGGAATGAGAAAATGGCCTAATCCACATATTAACAATGCGAGAATGTGTTTCGGTGGCATATAAGCCTCATCTGTGCTGAAGAGTCTAATCTTTTTCCCTCCCTCTCTCACGCCCAGTCTGACAGTGACGGGAACTTAATATTGAACTCCTGGAAGATTAGCTTGTTTCTTCACTCTTCTCAAAGCCGAGAGTGTTATGCTTCATGGTGTCCGACAGATAAGCAAACCCGGTTAAATCCGTTCAATTTATTTTCAGTCTTAAGGAAATTACACATTATTTAAAGAACAATGCATTATTTACAAATAAAAAAAAAATTTAGTTTATCAATGTTTATAGATTTTTTTAAAAACGTCATTCAATAAAGTCTACGTGGAGTCTGTTACCACTAAATTGTTTGCAGCAAAATGTGACCAACGACCAACAACAAACCTTGGCATCTAAACTGAACAGATTCTTAACTGGTAGAAAATTACTTAAAATCATCGTAAAAAAGGTAAAAGATAATATGACCCAGATTACATTAAATACAGGTTCACTTGTGGCGATGACACTTTTATATTTATTTGCATTGAATTATTGGCTTGTGAGGTTCAGGGTTATTATAGCTAACTAAAACTAAAACTAAAACTAAAAAACATTACTTGAAATAAAATAAATGTTAACTGGAATAAAATATAAAAAAATTATTCTGCAAAATGCAACATTTCTCATTTTCATTTAGTTTAACTTGGACTAAAATAATAAAAATTAATAAAAAATTACCAAAAACTATATAAACACTTACAAACAACAACAACAAATAAATAAACATGACAAAAAATGATGCAGAAAATATATTGCAATATATATGTATTTTGACTAGCGATTTAAAATGAAGCTGAGAGGGACATACGTTTAGTACATTATACTGTTTTCATAACTCATATTTTCTAAAGTTTTATGTCCAATGAAAACTTGTGAAAAGACATTTCAGTTTTATCGACTGAACGATAAACTTCCACGTACACAACAGTACGACATATTGGACAGACCTTCATCTCTCACAGCCTCACTTCTGTTGATGTCAGATTAAATATGGTGTCTGCTCTGACTAAAGTCTATGGCTTTCTTGCACTTCATATTGAATAATAGCTGACTACATAGCAGTACAGGATGAGGACTACATAGCGTTAGATGACAGGGCCCTTTGGACCTGTTATTCGTCTGGCCTGGTGAAAATGAGCAGCTCTGCTGTGTATTGAGTTTTAGTGAGCTGTCTGCTTGCCTGCTGAGGCAAAGAGTGAAATCTGATTATTCTACCTTGACAAGGTACAGGTCATTATGGACAGGCTTGTATTTTCACCCTTGAGCTTCAATAATAGTCTGTGAATTCACAGAAATCAGAGTGGACTGACTGCAGCTATGAGGAAAAAAGAGCATGTATGTGCAAAATAAAAGTCAAGGAAAATGAACAGAGATCTCTGGGTCAAAATGTTAACAAAATTGAAAATGACTGAAATTTGAAAACGGAATTACTGAAAATGTCAAATATATGCATATACAAAGAAGCAAAATCAGATTTTAACAATTTGTTGTTGATGTAAGTTAAAATGATAAAAATATAAACAGAAATGTAAAACAGAAGCACCAGTTTTCACTAGGTGTTTCAGAATTTTGAACCCCATTGTATACATACACAATAGACACATTTATGGATTTTCCTTTCCTTTCACAACCAGGTATAGAGAGAGAGCTTAAAGCTCTGCGGTCCTGATCCTTTGATTGTTGTGGACAGCAGCAGGCCTTCTGAGATAAACTCATTTTGACTGTTACCAAAGACTGGACTTCATCAAAAGCGGGCTATCTGCAAGAAAAAAATAATCCCTGGATTGTTATGATTTTATTTAGAGTAAAATGATGTGAAATAGCTGTTCACACAGTAAGTGGCTTGAAACAAGACTGTAAAACTAAGACAGGGATGGGGGTAACATTACTGCAGTGCCAGTCTGTTTCTAAATTAAAATGATCAAATCTCAATCTAAACCTCTAATTTAATAATGTATAATATTATAATTAATGTCATTTTAGGGTCTCTATACAGTATATATATATATATAAATCACAGCGCACTGGGACAGCTAACCAATCACAAGACATTTTGTTTTTCGGAAGGTGGACCTTCATCAAAGCCAGAACTAATCGAGCCGTTTGTGCCAGCCTGGGGAGAAAGGTATTTTAATAATGTAAATTATGTGAAAAATAATGCGTTTTTCGAACCACCAAGCATGAGAGCATGTTCTAGTACACCCCCAAAACAAAATCAAGACTTTGTAAAAGAGCATAATAGGACCCCTTTAAAACTAAATAGAAACATAAAAAAAAAATGACAAAAGCACATAACAAAATGACTAAAATTTTAACTGAAATTAAACTGAAAACTGAAAATATTAAAATTAAATCTAATTCAAAATATTAATAAATGCTATAATAGAATATGGACACTAAATTAACACTAGTCCAAAACCGAGATATTCCAGATATTCAGATTAAACATTTCAACATTCTTAAAATCAAGGAACAAATAATAAAAAAATAAAAACGACTAAAACATGCAGCTTAAAGGGACAGAAAAGTTCCTGTAAAGGAAGAATCACTGATCTTCAGCAGTATAAAATAACTGTTCTGGCAAATGTGGCATGGCTTGGTAACTTCCAGGCCACGTCCTACACAAAGCCAGCAGTCTGATTACGTTTCTTTGCCTACTTATGGCAGAATACCGTTGCAGCTGCAGGGCGAGATGGTATTTTGGGCCTGTGACATTGTGGATGTTGGTTAGCATTCAGCTCTTTGCCTCGAGGCCTGCTCTGCCTATGCAAATCTGCTTAATCAATGCAGGATATTTACCATGGCTCTGCTCAAAGATAACTGACAGCCTGGGTGAGCCGTTCCAGTGTCCTGCTGGGTACAGAAAGCAGGAGGGAACTACAGAGTGACAGAGCAGATGAGGCCAGCATCTCA